CTTTCTTGTATTCAGTCATCAAGTCATTTTCAACATTCTTCAATCTATCCAAAAATTCTGAGCTTTGTTTTATAAATAAATCAGCTCAAACAAAACTTATAACTATCCAAAACAATCATCAAGGAATGGTATATTACGAAAGGACTCTATAAGGATATCCAGATTTCTAATGTACAATCTGAAACAAAAGAAGCAACAAATGTAGATAAATAACAACCTATATATGGGGCGATAAAGCTAAGAACATTGTCATCAGTAGTAAGTTGAAGAATTGATCAGCCCTGAAACAGAAAAACCATCATTTCTATATAATGAACAGATATCTGTAGCACCAGGATCCCTACCTTTTGTCCTTCAAAACATTAATAACAACAGCAGCTTCTGCGGGCGAAACATGCGATGGAGACGGTGCCTTCTCTGTAGGCCTTTGGTAGCTCAAACTGCTAGAAGAGGTGCTGCTTGGAGTTCCAGGGCGAGAAGAGGTTGGAGAGTTAACTACAGATGGAGGGTACCATGACTGTGAAGGAGTAACAACCTCCGGCCGCGGCTGAGTTTGTTCCTCCTGAGATCCCCTGTGTATATAACCATTGTTAAACCTTCAGCCTCTCCAAAACACAACACCAATCAAACTACTTGCATCACAATTCATGAAATTTCCAATTTATAATTGCAGAAACAAATCAATTCAATTTCCAACAATTTCACAAATCGATTCAATTCATGAAATACATCAAATTCGCAGAAAAAAAGTTGGAAATTTGTAAACCGACATATATGATCAGATAAAAAAATGAACGAAAAAGCCATAAAATCAAGCTTCGGCATCGGAATTCAACGCTAGGACAAATAAACCCTAACCAACATCGAAAAGCAAAATTACCAGAACTTGAACATGGACATGGCTTGAGGAGCTTCTGGACCGTCCGATCAATCAGGCTAGGTCAAGGAATCGAATCGAATCGACAGGAAGCTTGAGCTGTACGAAGCAGAGCGAGCAGAGAAACGGAGGAGTTGGAGCACCAAGAGACGACGAAAACTTTTCGAAGCTTCGAACTGCCCGGGTATGTTAGAAAGCACGTATCGACGGTTACGTCTCCGTCGAGATTGTGATACGCGTGGCTTTGGCTGATTGGTTGAAAACGCGTGCGAGTAAGACAAGGATCACAGAAGATGCAAATAAACAACTTGGCAGTGTCATTAACAACTCTGCCGACATTGGGCCGTGATTATGGGCCTAAATGGACCCCAAATATATGGGCTAAGTAAACCCCCAACAAATATACCCAATTGGAGCCCGACAAGCATCGACCTATGGATAGTCGACTCTGGAATTCACACTTACCGCTTCTTCTAACATCGAAAAGAGAAATACAACCATACTGATATCTAATTGGTTTTCAACCGTGTTTGTTTAAGATTTGCTTTGTCCATTTGTGTTTGTTTGGCCATAGTTAGCTTTAATTGAAAGGTGGATTAATAAGTGTAGATTGGAAGACTATGCTTTTTGGTTGACTATATAAAAAAAAAAGTACAACTCCAAACAATACCATCTCTTTTGAGTCTTTCTATATAATTGTTCTCTCCTTTTAACAAAGTTCTTTTCTTTAACCCCCCCCCCCAAAAAAAAAAAAAAAGGTAAAGGACCCCAATAATTTGGAGCCATTTTTGTGTGTGGTCTAAAATGGTGCATCGGTGAAGTTTCCTTGCAGTTTGATAATGCAAAATAAGATATATAGAGGAGAAAAAGGAGATTCTCAATTTGGTTGTAAAGAAGCAATAATGCAAAGTATCCCTCAAGCTCAAGGTATTTAATGAGATTTGAAGTACGATTGGAAGGTAAACAGCATTATTATACCAAATATATGCTTGGCTGGTTAACGACAGTGGAGAGTAGGCTGGCTAATCGTGTTGGTGGTTCAAATCTAAAGACAATGTTTTAAGCTATAAATTATATCATGAATTTGTGTTAAGGGGGGATTGAGTGGTTGGATTGGATTGAGAGAGAGAAAGGACCCATCGGATGTGTGAAAGAGACCCATATGGTTTCTTATTGAATCTCAACTCAACATTTTAACTTCAATGTGAAGAACAATGATTCCAATCCAATGATGAAATATAAGAGACTAGATTTCCAAAATAATGCAATGAGCATTCTCAAATTAGAAGTGGGAAATTTTATTTCATTCTTACACATTCAACCCGACATAGAAATCTTAACTTTCACCTCCAAACTTTAAATCCGAAATTCTGATCTTCATTTTGACTCGAAAATCTTAAGTGCCGACCTTAAACCTCAAATCCGAATCTCTGAAATTACGAACCCTAAAACTCAAAAATGGCATTGTGATTATTTGCATTAATCATTTCTGCGGCTACCAATAGTAACGAAAAGGAATTCTATTTCTCCCGTTTGATGATGAAGAAACATTATCCCCATAGTACTAGTAGGACCACACACGACTCTTTACATCCACAAAGGGACACTATAATGAATCGATCCAAGAATATTAAGGGCTGGAAAAGTTGGATCATCTTACTTTCTAAGGAAAAATGTTACCAGAAAAGGAACAACAATCCCCACTCCGAAATGTTACACATTTCTATAGGTTGTTGATGATCACTATCTCTTTCAAATTAAAGAAAAAAGTTATTAGCTCAACAAACAACTAATAGACATGAAAAAAAGAGAAAACTTTAAAACCTAAGCTCAAGTTTAAAAGCCTTTCTTTTTTTGGCCTGTACTAATATTAGGATGTCATTCCAGCAACTGATATTCTCTTTCTCAACCCTACCGAAGTACACTATAGATCCTGTGAGCAGAAAAGAGACCCTAATATGAATACATCCTAATATATAGATAGTTTTTTCTTTTCCTCCAAGGAAAAGAGGAGTACAATTCCAAATTATAGGGAGCCCTGAATTGGCTAATAATTTATTGAACATCCTTTTTATTAGACAAATCTAAATATGTTCAAAATGAGAAATGTATTAGGTAACACAAAATAGTAGTGTTACCGTCACACTGAAAAGTTTCCGCGCCAAAGATCGGATATTATCCACGGTCCAATTTGATGCCTACCCCGAATGACAATATGCTACATCTAATTAATATAAAGATCTCATTCAGTGGTCCGAAATAGTATAATAACATACAGTAGTACAGTTTGTTATTCTTAAACCTTGAAACTCTTATTGTAGTTGGTTTAACTTTCCTCTCTCTGAACCTTTCTTTTTATGGCAATATTTAAAGTTGTAAAACCTAATTTTAGCTTCTTTATTTTGTTTTGTTTATGTTAAGGATTAAATTTGTTAGGTAACATGAAGATTATATAATTATTACAGACAATGTGTGAGATTAAAGATTGTTCATGTTCTCCCTGTTGCCACCACACACACAGCCTTGATTAATTCCTACACAAAGGTGTTCGGCCCTTCAATTAGCCTGCATATTTTGCGAAAATCATTGCACTTCCATGGCCTTTGCAGCATTAAGAAAACTACTTAAATGAATGTTGCGTACGGTACGCGTACGGAAGCCATGAAAAAAACCCCAAGAAAAATGAAAACCTAGAATATTTAATACCATGCTCAAGCTCAAATTGTGCTACTTTAATCTACTCATGCGGCTTACATTTATTTGCAGAGTTTATGAGCATTTGCAACCAGCCACAGCCCGCGGCTAATAATGGCCCTGATCGGCTGAACACGACTCTTTGTCCAAAAAACCATTCCCACTCAACTCGTCAAAACTTGTTTGCCAACAACTTGACAAGATGGGAAAGAAATCTCGTGTTACTTATACAATTGGTTTTGGTGCACACGATTCCAAACGAGTTATTTGAACTTCGTGTGAAAATTTAGATTATGTCAAAGTCACACAGTCCTTTTTTGGTCCCATCGTATTAATATACTCAAGTTTTACATGATTAGGAAAGAATATAATATACAGATTTTCTCTCCTATTCACACATTCGAACGTTATTATCGTACGGATGACATGTATTTGCTATTATCCCTCTTTGCTTTCCTCTCTGTTTACAATGGCGTGCGAGTATATATAGTTTTTATATATGATATCGTACATTTTATGAGCAAAGGAATCCGTAAAAAAGTGATTAAATAAGATGCGTTTTGTGTAGTCTTTTGAGCCAAAGTAGTGGTGGTCTAAGCCATATAATAAGCATCTTACAGATAAAAGATAAAAAAGAATCTGAGATAAATGAATTAATATTATGGATGACAAGCTTTGAGAATGAGTGGGTGGAGTCTCTTTAGAAGCTTATTAGGGCTCTTTTTGAAGTCTTTTTGGTTGGGCACAGAGCTTTTGAGTCTCATCCCCTCCGTAGAAATTGCATCGGTTTCACATCATTGTCCATGCCCTAGCCACCTACCTTTATCATCGATCCCCTTTCTTCTTTCACGGGAAAAAAGCTTTTCATGAAGGTGAATTTTGGTCTTTTCTTTCTCATTTTGTCTTCAACCTTACCTTTAATCTCTTCGATACAAAAGCCTGTCTCTCTTTACCAGAACTTTCATACTGTTTGCATGAAAGAATTTCTTAGGAGTTAAGAAGCCAACAAAGAAGGCAAAAGAGATTAACGTGACTTCAGTCCACCAAATATAATATTCAAGTGTTTTTTCAACTTTTTTGTTTGTTTTTGTTTTGTTTCTCTTTCAATTCTCTCCGAGGTTAAAAAATAAAAAAACTTCAAATGAAAAAGTATCATCATTGAATATCACCTTAAGTGTAAAGGGTCTAAATCATCATTAAGGAAAATCACCTCAACATGTCCTCATTTGGAGTACATGATTGAACTCGATATGAGCACGCTTCAAAATTAGATTGGATTGAATTTGATATGAGCACTACTCAATTTTAGGGGTTTTTTTATTTTTTATTTTATTTTAAAATGCTTTCTATTTAAGCAAAGTTATGAAGTGGTAGTCATCAATTTATCTTATCTTATACATAAATTTGAGATTTTTTTTTTCCTTATATATTCAGTTATTTTCCGGAATGCTTAGTATATTCTAGTTTCTTTTTAAGGGTTTGAATGTTTGTCCTTTCATTTATTCATTTACCCCGTGTTTATCGATGCATCATAGTTTCTTTATATTAATTCTTTACACAAACATCCCTTCAGATTTTCGACTTTTTCACAAAACTCCATGAAGTTTCAGAAATTACACAAACACTTCATAAGATTTTAAATTATTTTCACAAAACTCCTTTTCATTGATTTTTTGTCCAAACATTAATTGATAATTTCATTATAAAAAATCTCCAAATGACAAGGGTTGCCAATAGATATTAGATTGCATGTACATTCATTGACGTTAATTTTGTCATTTGCATAAATGTTTTTTTCAATGAAATCACTTCGAGTTTTAAATGGGTCTTCCATTTACGTGGAGATTACCAAAGGATAAAAAGTTGTAAATATTTCAATCATTTTGCTTGAACTTTGACAAAAAGAGATTTAATTCAATCATTTTGCTAGGGTTGGATAATGGGTCAATTAGGGTTGAGTCGGGTCTCATCAAGCTAAAACGAGTCAAGGCCGAGTTTGAAACCATTGGCCCTAACCCTACTAAAAAAATAACTTGAGTAGGGCTTTAGCTATGGGTCGCCCCAGGTTTTGGCCCGTAATGCCTGCCTGCAGCGACCCACTTTAGCTTGTAATGCATGTGAAATTACAATTCCTGAAATATTACAATTTTTGCACGGAGCACAAACTTTATATAGCAACATTTTTTTTCACATTTTATGATCTATCTATTATATCTACAGAGTAAAATGCCCTTATGGTTTCCATATTATGAGAGACTCAAACTAGATGATCAGTTTCCATATCATAGAAGTGGTCTTGATACTTGGAAATGAAGAATTAAATTAAGATGTTTATGTAAATCGATCAGGACCAAATGATGAAACTCAACCCTCTTAAAATTCGACACTGATAATTTTAATCACATATATTCCCCTACACTTTTGAATAAAGGCTTGAATCCTACCATCCAGTAGCTAATATTTGATATAATTGACAATTCGCTAAACGATATGATAAGATGGAATTTAATATTTGATCAAATTATTCTTT